AAAATGCCACTGACCTATTGTCTAGGTCTAGAATCGATCCTGACATTTGAAGCAAGAATATATTGGTACGTTATCAGAAAGAGCAAGAGGGTGGGGAAAAAAACATACAAACACAGAGCAAGAGGTTAAACTGATTAACATCCAGCCTGACAGAGATTTTTGGTTATTTAAATATTATGGAAAGATCTAAGGGTACTAAGGAAAGGCACATACTAGGCCACAGTCTGTCATCAGTTACCCTGCAAACCACACTGGTTTTTGACTATCGTGACAATTAGCAGCTTGCAAAATCAGAAGAGGAAACATAATATAGTCTAAAACTCAGAGCAAAGTGAGAATAACAAGCTCTGGATTCTACACCAGCTCACTCACTGCTGCACTGAGAACCCTCTAGCAAGGCACTTTTGCTAATATTATCCAGAGTCTTCTGACTTGGTATGCCCAACTGCAGACACACTTCAGCTGAGGTTGTGAGTATGTGACCTTCCTGATAACAAGACTTGTAGATGGCTCAGGTTAGATGCCCAAAATTAGTGGACTCTTTTGAAGACTTGGGTAAACTGAGGAGCAGAGAGGTTGAAACCTATCTGTAAAATGGGTTTATTGGTTAACTGATCTTGATTAAGATGAGATCTTCAAATTATGGTGATAGTATAATCCAAGGTCTTTTACCAGGAGGATTTTCCTTCATCTGCTATTTGAGACACACTATGAAATGATTATATTCATCCAAAAGCATATATTTCTCATGGTTTGTTCTATACTTTCAGAAAAATCAAGGAGAAATTACTATTTCTATATAGTATGAAAAACCATCAACAGAACTCCTAAACAAAATTCCATTCAAGTCAACATACTTTAAAAATAATCTCTATTAAAAATCTGGTGACATCTTACTATTAATAAAACATTTCAGTCACACGGGGTAACCAACATTTATACATTCAGTGTTATTTTAGGTGCTTGCAGAGAGATACAGTGTTTAGATGTAATATTCTAATTTGTATAACAGTAGCATGTAAAGTACTCAGTTATACAACTTGACTAGCCACAGCACATAAGAAATTGCTCCTAACCCTAAAAGCTTAAACACTAAATAAACAAGACAGACAAAGCTTGGAAGATAATTTGTATGCCATTTGTATGCATATGGCAATGCTTCCATTTGTACTATATTGCTGATGCTAATCTATCGGGTTTAAAATATTCTTTGTGAAGATATTCCAGGTCCCTCAGGCAAGAAAACAGAAAATTTTCACAAAAATTATCAGAATTATCTATCTGCACATGCAATTACCCGATTTACATGTTCAACTGCAGTAACTATAAACACAATATAAGGCAAGCACTATGCACAGGGCTCAACAAATTAGTCAATCTACTTGCCTGTGACGAGTAGATTTTAAGGCTCTGTCCTCCCTCCTCCCCCCATTTTTGAATTGAGTTGGGTCACTCAAGTCTTCCTGAATTGTCAAAATGGGTCCCCATCTGGAAAAGGTTGGGAACCGCTGGAACAGAGGGACCATTCCCACTTTGTGCATCCCATGAAAAGGCCAAACACAATCGCAGTCCATAAGCATGAAGGCTACTCCCAGAAGGGAAAAAGTATCCTGGCCCTATCCTACTCATCTCACACTAGACAGCAAAAGATGGCTGCAAGCTTGGATTGGAGCAGGCTGTGTCATCCTCCCATGCTCCAAGGAGCGAAGAGTTGCACCTTTAGAGGAACAATCCATGTGACCTGCCTCTTGGTGCAACATGTCTAAATATCACCATCAGACCTTTAAAATGCTGTCAGTACTAACAATGCACAAGCTCTAACATGGAACAAGAGTTAAAATGCAAGGACTGTTTTATATACGTAGATGCATGGATAAGTGGAGCTAAATTGGCAGTATACTCAGAAGAGATGAAACAAAGGGACAGAAGTGAAAGCAATGCTCAGACTACAGCTGGCAGGATCTTTTTGGGAACTTATGAATGAAGAGGATGTATCTGCAATAGCACATACTGACCCAGAGTCATTTAGGGAGACACCACATCCCGTTTCACTGAATCATATACACAGGTGTAACAGATCAGCTCTTCACTCTGCTTTCTTTCTTCCTCTCAAGACTCAACAAATCATGGCAGGGCTCACTGGGAGATTTTCCCCTTGATTTTGCTCTCAGCCCCCAGATTTTTATTTGCTTGGGTTTGAGAATTCCATTTAATGAATATTAATACATTTCAACAATCAAGCATATGCCCGAGCATAGGCTTATGCCTTCTTCCCAGTTTGCGACGTGTGAGGAGGCCTAGCCAGAGTCACACTCTCAATCTGTGCCTTGCCATTTCACGCTACATGTGTTTACAGACTGTGTCAAGCAGGAAGGTTTCAGGCAAGCCCCTCACTAATAAGATGGCCAGTCACCCCAAGGAAGGCTGGAACCTCGATGTTCAGCTCCCTAAACCAGTATTTCTCAACCAGTGGTATGAGTACCCTTCGGGGTACTCAAGAGAAAGCTAGGGGCTACATCAACACAACTGAAATTTGGAGAAAACGTAATTTCTTGTTTTAAGTTTTACAGTGCTTTATTATTTTTGTACTTTTTACACCCAAAAATTTAATCGTCTGCCTGGCTATGATTAAGTTGTTTAAACAAATGTATTGCAATGGTTAAAAAAAAACCAAAACAATGGTGTGTGTCTGAACACTGTAGGTACTGGGGGTGCTTTTTTTTGAAAAAGGGGTACTTTATATAAAAAAAAGTTTGAGAAACACTGCTCTAAACATCTGATAATCAAAGAGCAGGACTCAGGCTCTGGCCATGTTTTCACTGGAAGATGTAAAGCACTGGTAGTTATAGCACTGCTCACACAGAGCTGCAGGTAAACCGGTGCTCTGTCCACACTGTTCTCCCATTAGCAGTAACATTTCTGAGACCTCAATTCAGTGAAGCTACCCATTGCTGTCCAAAAGAACAGATACATGGAGTGGATGTGGTGTGGGCTGCTGCTTCATTAACAGCAGATTAGGATAGGTCACAGGCAGCCAATAACAATGTTTCTGGATCCATGCGGAGTTTCAGTTTTTGAAAGGCACAAGAAACTCTGCTCGGGCTCCTGTACATTTCAAAGAGGAAGTGCCGCTGCTGCGCCTGTGCCCCGTCCCATGGAGCTGGAGCTGGAGCTGGATCTGGAGCTGGAGCTGGAGCTGGAGCTGGGGGGAATTGGCCCCAGGCTCCACATGACATTTCAAAATGCAGAATGCATGCTAGTCCTTATCGACCAATCGCATAGTCGATGGAAATCCCATTGACTATTCGATTAATCAATCAATATTTAACATCCCTAATTAAAACAGCCTTTACTTCTTCTGGCTCTTATACCTAACTCTCCAGGCTCCAGCCTCTTTGTGTAATTCCTCCATTATTGGGAACTGTCCGATTTGTTATATGCCAGTTTTAGTAGAGAGGCATTCAACTGTATTGACTGTTCCCCCTGTTGCATCAGAGTACAGTACTGCTAATGGCAAACATTCAAAAAATGTGAATGAAACCTCAGAAAAGCAAAATGAATTTGGGGAGGGATTATTTAGCATCTGGTTTGAGCCTTTAGTGTTGGTATTTTCACTATTTTCTCCTCAGCCCCAAGAGATCAGAATTTACTTGTCATCTATATGTTCAGTTACAATGCACTGTTTAAAAGACTGCTTCCTCCTCCTCTCCCCACATTTCCTGGCACCAGTCTATATACCACAAACTATTATCAAGCTGCCCAAATCCCAGTTTCACTATATTTAATGTTTGTGTGTGTGCAGGTATGCTCTACACATGTTTACGTAACACTCATCTAAAAAGATGTCTAAATGTGCTATATTGCATATAGAATTATGCACTATGCCCAAACATAGATAACTGAACCACATATATACATTGTAATGTTTAAACACTAGCAAGTAAGCCAAAATCTGGTTTGACAACTGTGACCATCAAATCTTTTCCTTCATTCTTTGCTTGGAATAAAGAGTAAATCCTTCTGTAGTCCTAAAGTCTATGTCCATGCTTGTCAGTGTGAAAAAATTATAAGGGATTATGAGAGAAAGCATTTTACTGTATATCATATCTAGCATCTGGTAGTATTTGCAGACTTTCAAATAGTAAACATGTTGAATGTAGATCAAAAAAACCCACTTCTGTGAAATTAATGATTTCCAGAATCATTCTTCACAGTCATACTAAATCTGTTTGTCTTTTTCCTCCAGTGAATTTCCATGAAATCTTGGCCCCATTTAAGTCAATGGGAGTTTTACCATTGATTTTTCTGGGGCCAGGAGATCTGTGTCTTCTTTACAGTCCAAACTTACAAGTTGACATGGTCATAAAGCCAACACAATGAGACACACCCTCAGATAGTAAAATATACTTATGCTTAGTTAAAATGCTATCAGGGGACCATATTCTGGACTAGATTCGATAACAGGTTTTTTCCATCACTAGCTGCAAACATTCATATTAAAAAAGAAAGATGATCTCACAATCTCTTGAGTACCTGTTCCTCCAAGATATTGAGAATACTCAATTCCCATTACAGAATAAGACTTCTGAGTACACAAGGCAACCTGCAAGCTGTCATAGAGGGTGCATCTAGATTGCAGGGGTTTTTTCCAGAAAAATGGCTGTTTTCCCAAAAAAACTTCACTTATATCCACACTGCTATTGCGTTCTTTCGAAAGAAAATCGAAAGAATGCAGGGATTTTTCCAACATTGGTAAACCTCATTCTACAAGGAAGAATGCCTTTTCCGAAAGAGGACGGGGAAGAAGGAATCTTTTTGAAAGAAGAGGAAAGAGGAAAACGCACAATAATGGCCACTCCAATAGTAATCACAGCTTAAATGTGAGATGGTGTCCACACTGAATAGACACTATCTTTCAAAAAAGCAGATCTCTTTTTCAATGCGCTTTGGCAGTGTGGATGCTTTCTTTCAGTAGAAGTTTTTTCGGAAGATCTTGTCCAAAAAAGCTTATTCCGAAGCTTGCAGTCTAGACGTACCCATAGTGGACATACCCATACCTTTTGCATACATAGCCATGAAAATGTACAATGTACAAATGAGGATTTTTATACTACTGGTGTTAAGAGTTCTCACCCTACTGAAAAAATATGGCTTTCAGTTGGGAATTGTATTCAAGTTGTATGACAATACAATGGCAGTACTGGATATAAAGTTACACTGTTTTCTTCTCCCCACCCTTTTGAAGATAATCCCTATAGTAATACAAGATGGAGGTGAAACTACTTTTAAAAAATTAACATAGCTATTTCTTTAAACAAAGTTATAGCTAAGGTAACAAAAATGGCCTTTTTTACAGCTGAATAACATCTAACAAATCATTTACAGCCTGTGGAACAGTTGGGATTTTCCTTTTTAAATGCAGATGATATTTTGCTATTTGTGAAATATATAGCTAAATCCAAGCTGCACAGAGGAAATGATACTCTGGACACGATTTGCACAGATCTCCATGTTACCAATGGTTATGTACACATTCCCACTTTTATTTTCAAAGAGCCTGATGAAACTATTCTGATGGCTGATATAGGGCTTAATCATATTGTATGACAAAAAGAACGTACCAACATATGCACACATGGAAAAACATATCCATTACACATTGATGTATTGAAGTTGAGCATTAGTTATAAAGCATACCATAGGGAAAATTTAATATAGCATTTCATTGTTATGGTGCATTAGAAAATTATTCTATTAAATTTATTCCTGACTCCATAGCTGTACTGATTCGGGGGGTGGGGGGGGTAGCTTACCTTACTTATGTTGGTAGAGACCCACTGATAGTGCACTTATAGATTCTGGAACACGGGGAAGAGTCAAATACTTTTATTTCATAGGTGCTGGAACTAAGAGTGCTATAGAACCCCTAGCCTGAAGTGTTTTCCATCCTTATTAGAGTTTATGGTCTGATTCAATGGCTTTCAGCATCTCCATTATACAAATTGCTCTGGCACCACTGCTTGCTTGGCTTATCACATCGCAAATAATGTTTACATGATTTTTATTATTATTTTAACCAGAAATTGGGGAACCTGATGGTGTTTGGATTTCAGGAACCTTCTAAATGTGGTTCCGTTTTTAAAAGTACTGTGAAACTTTCAAGTTCTGCATAACATTTCCCCCAAACCAAATTGTTTTTCCAAGAGATATTTAATTTTAAAAAGCATGGGTTTTTTTTAACTAAATGGGAGTCTATGCTCAAGAAAACAAAGATTCTTGCTTGACGGCAATTGTTCCCTTGTTTTTAAAACAAAAGAAAGAAAGTTCTAAAAGCATGCAACAGCACAATAGCTTCCATCTGGTCTTCAAAAAAATCTCAAATATCTGTTCCATCTTTTCTAATTTCAAGCAAAAGTTTCTGTCCTTTACAACATATATCATCAGTTCTCTCTGACTCACTTCCATTCTTTAATGTATTTCTTTACCAGTTTCTTTACCAACAATCCCATGTGCCCTTCCCCTCCTACTCCAAGCTTTCTTGCACAGAACAGCTTTGAATTCTCTTCAGGATTATTTCCAGTTTTGAATGAGACTGGTTATATTCCATTATGTCTAACCTGCGTGTAAAAGTGAAACTACAAGTAAGAAATGTAGTTTAAAAACAACTAATTTCTCCCTCAACTGGTGGTTGATGAGTAATTTCATGGATTCAATTATGCCTTATCTTCCCAGATGGAGTTATTAGGGGTATGTCATGCCACAATACTGAAAATGAATTGCTTACTTCAACCTTTTTTTGCTGTATGCGTGTATGTTACACATATGCTCCAGGGACTACAACCCAATTGCATTCAGTGTAAAAGTTCAGCTTAAATTCCAAGCAAAGGAAAAAACAGAAAGAAAGGTAAGAAACAGAAGGGGGGGAAAAAACATGCAAAAGGGCAGACTAGGAAATTGAAAGAGATTCTACAGAAGCCCAGTTAAGGCTGGCACCTGAAAACTATTGAAAAATTTCGTTTTGATCTTTCCATTCAAAATAGTCAATTCTCATTCTCCTCATAATGATTAAGAAAAAGGTGAAATTGGATTTTATTATCATTGATCTTTGTTATTACAATTGTTGTGTAGAGATTATTTGATAAGTGGCAAAGGCAGACCTTATTTTTAAAAAAATCCCACAAAGAATATTAACAAATGCACTGTCATTTAAAGTTTGATTAATGTTTATAAAGCAAACAAACTTCATTCCTTTCATAGGAAGAAAGTCCGATTTGTCCCCAAACAAGCTGTTATCTTGCAAATGAAGTCAGTAAATATTAAAATGTTCTATCGGGACATTTGGCATTGAAAGGTTTAAAAAAAAAAACTAAACTACCAAAGGTGACATAAAAAAATCCCTGTGCAGCAGCGGGGCAGCATAGCCTATGCAGGATGTATGTGTATTCATGAAACTATGCCATGTATAAAGCAAACTGTATGAAGAGAAATGAAACAAACAATGGAAATACAATACAGATCAGGCAAAATCCCAAGATCTACAGGAAAGGCTTTGTCTATCCTGCAGATGGTACAACAGCACAACTCCAGGACTGTAGCTGTGCCACTGCAGCACCATAACATAGATGATTCCTTCAGCAACATAAAGGTTTTTTTCCCCCAATCACGGTAGTTAATCCAGACCACCAAAAATGCAGTTTCTTCCATCAGTCTAGCCACCACTACCTCTGGGAGTAAAGTCAAACTAACTCCAACATTCAAGGGTGCAAATTTTTCCACATCTCCCAAGTGAAGCAGAGAGCTAAATCGATTTAATTCTCAGTGTAGACCAGGATTAAGATAGTCTCTCCCATTGTAGAAGAAAGCATGGTTTTGAGCTTATGCCAACAATTTAGCATAATTAATGTAAAAACCAATTCCTGTTTTTACTTTATACAGGTTAATCATAACTGAAACACCACTCACCTGACCTGAAAACATTTATCACACGATATTTGTAAAGGTTGCGAATTGTTTTTTTAAAAACAACTGTCACTAAAATAAGATGACCTGAATACTTCTCTTTATTTCTCTGCTTAGAGGATTCACCAAGAAAAGCTGTTTTCTCAGAGCCGGCCCATGTATTTTCCTAACTAAACAACGGAAGTAGTCACCTATCTTGACAAAACAACAGATCCTGGTTTATTATACACATTTCTACATGGAACAGTATCTATCAGAGTTACAAACAACAGATGGATAATCCAGAAGCAAAGTAACCCAACATCGGTTAGCCGTTAGCAAATAAGGGTTTGTGGGGGTGGATTTCTGTCACATATGTCACAGTCGATAAGGAAGAGGATATCAAATGTGACTAACACATATCTTATCCATATCATTCATGTACAGATCAGGCCAGATCAAGGGCTTAATATTTTAGCTACCTCTACAACTTTTGCTTTCAAACGCAAAATAAAGTGAGCTTATTTCCTGGTACAATTTTATTCTTCTTATGTCGGATGTGGTAAAACTAATCATGCCACATGATTTGCACAATGATGTGAAGAATCATTAAAAAATGAATGTAGAGCACTTTGAACATGGAAAGCTGTAAATATTAAAGTGGGCCTGTTTTCACATGTGCTGAGTACCCACAATGCTGCCTCCCTCAATGAAACCTACTAATGATCAACAGCTGGAGGGGAGGGGAATCAAACCATATTTATTTAGATACCCAAGTGTGGATTTAATAGCTTAATTTTAGCATGCAATTTGTTTTCCATTTCTACCTTATTTTGAAATCAACAGTAATTTCTGTTTGAATTATATAGTTATATACCTGTTTACAAATAAATTCATATATCCTGTACCAAATGTCTACAAATATGATTGCTATATACATTCATCCAATAAGCACATAATTATGGAGCATAATCTGTTCCCCTTCCTCATCTGAGTATTCCCTTTGAAATCAATGAGACTATCTGCTTGCATACACTAAGTAGGATTTAGCCCTAAACATTGCAGTATTTACTTAGTCAATTGGCACTGAGCAATGATCATTAGAGGCGCAAGACCTAGCACAAATCACCATCATTCAACAAAATGGAGCTCCCAAGGAAAACAATGAAACCAGCAACATGAGACATTGGTGCATGGAATGACAGAATGATTTAGCATCTCTTTTTCTCTCTTTAATTATGCATCTTAAGAGGACAGGATGAGATAAAAACCACATTCATTTTATGCTAGTTATCTAATTAATTGGAAATTCTTTCTTAAAGTACTATCTAGGTGCATGAAAGAATTAAAACCTTGCCTGAAAAAAGTATCTTCTTTGCACACACACAAAAATAATCTGGTGTATTTCAATTTTTAATGTATTAACCACAAATATGATTGCCTATATCAATATCAGGAATTGCACCTTTTTTCCTTTTATGATAGCATGGTCCCATCCAAGAAAATGCCTTTTCACCTTATGACTCAACTTCCACTCTGCCCCTCTAAGTATCTGCACAGAATGCGCAAAACACAAACTTGTTCTGTTCTCATGTTTCTTTTGGGAGGATTCTTTTTTAATGCTTCATTACCTATAGCTTCTTTCCTACAAATAGCTCAGTTTTCAGGAAGAGGTTAATATTCTTCTCAGTATGTGAACATCCTAGCTAGCTCAATGAAACAGCATTAGAAGATATTCAGGCCTATCTACAGATACCTCCCATGGATGATCCCACTTGAGATACTCAAAATATGGTGTTAAAGGGGCCTTGAACATCTACATTCATGCTGTCCTCATATCAAGTAACAACACGGACTGAAGGAAACCCATCCAAACGAACCAGTGATGGAGAGCCATATAAAGGCTAATTCAGTCTCATATCGTGGATTTCCTATTGGAAGAATAAAGTGAAGCCAATAGAACAAGGAGTTTGGAGAAAACAGATTAACAGGGCTACCTCTCTGAAACCAGTGAAGCCAACACATCTGTTTTAGTCTACCAAAGATCCACTGAGAAAAATAAGATATTTACACACAAATCAAAGAGCCAGAATTAAATCGCTATCTACTAAAGTCTTGTATGATTGTAAATGCAATGTGTGTAAACTTGTTAAATTTAATTGGTTCATACTGCTATACCAAATGTCACCAGACCCTTTTACATATAGATGCCACATGTTTATACATTCAAGTGGTACTGTATGTGCAATTTTTTATTCTACGTATACACACGAAGCTATGACATATTGCTATATGTGCCTTATGTGTTGGTAATACTTGCTTACAACTTGGTTTCCTACACTGTCCTCAATGAGGAAAAGAAAACTGTAAAGGAGACTACTACCTTGTCGGTGTCTGGATAGGATAAGCACCCACTAAAATCAGAATCAACAACAAGGCCTACAACTATTCAGCATATTCACTGTCCATCCTAAAAAGTACCTGGTCCTAATTTCACATCACTATCCCAGTCCCGGAGAACAAAATAATAGAAATATCTCGAGAATAAAAATTAGATTTGCTTTTAAAATGCAATAAAATTACAAGTTAGTAAACGTTATGGTTGCAAAAAGATTCCCAAAACAAGGGCTTGTAACATTGGGGTTCATTCACACATATCCATGGTCGCACACGTAAGGGAGTGGGGAACAGATTGTTTAATTTTTCAGTTTTCCAGTCCTTTGCAAATAGAGTATTTATTTCCATTAGTTACTATACATACTTTCTTTTCACTTTTCTCAGATCAATGAGATTCGTTTAGTAAAGTTTTCTTTTCTGTATTATCACAGAACAAATTATGGATTCAGCCAACTACTGGTGGGGATTTAAAAAAAATTAAGGTAGACTTATGGTCGAACCTTTCTTCCAACATTGCAAGATGCAGACCCGCCTGGCGTTTCTGAAATCAATACACAATTCTGGTTATACACTGCATACACATAAACATTGAGGCTGTTATTTAAAAAGTCTAATATTGGGATCACCAAGCACTCTACAGTAGGCAGACTTTCCTGAATCTCCTAACAATCCCCAAGATGTAACTAAAATTACACCACTGATTTTTCTAGTAGACTGTAGGTGGACAACTGAGATGCCTGTGTTGACGAAGAGGCATACGCAACATTAACCTGACAACAGGGCCGTCTTCTGTTCCAAAGAAAACAGAATCGACACACTAACATCAGCAGCGGGGAGCTCTGTGTTGCTGGACAGGAGTGTGTCTTGTTCTTTGAGAAAGATATGGAGCGTGTGAGAGAGCAGGGTACTTACTGTAGCTGAGACTAAGCTGTTATCTGCCAGGGTTAAGTGATGAGGCTCCCACCTCCTCAAAAATTTGGAGGAGAGGATCTTGCTAAGAAATGTCCGGGGGTGTCTGATGACACAAACCTGGATGTCCCCCTCTTGCAGCAGTTTATACCTCATGCCGTTGCAGTGCAGAAGGGGTCGCCTGCAACGAGCAGCACCCATTTTACTCCCCTCCGTAGCAGACATTTCACCCAGCAGTGGCTTGCTCTCCTCGATCTGTCGGAGATCGCCGGCCCCCCCAGAGCCGCCAGTAAAATCCATGGCAGCTTTTTTGCTGGATGCCGTTAAAAACAAGGGTTGTTGGGGTTTTTTTTTTTAAATGCGAGGAATTAAAAAAGTCACCCCCACAAGAGGAAAAAAGCCGGAAGGGGTGGGGGGAGGAAAAACTGTCCAAGAGGATGGAGGGAGAAGGAATTAACTCCCCCCCACCCCCCACACACAAACACACAAAAAGCGATTTTAAAAAAAATTCCTCCGTTCAGCTGCCCCCGGGCCCTCCAGCGGGTCCCTGCCCTCTTGTCCGAGGAGTCCCTGCTGCCTCCGGCGGCTTCACTTGGCCAAATCCATGCTCCCCGAGAGCGCAGGGGCAGATCCGGGCGCCGGGCGGAGGGAAGCCCGCCCTGTGAGGGAGCGCGGGGTGGGTCTCTGCCCCGGGCCCCCGGGGGC